TTTGCAACTAACGCCGTCCATTGACTTTCATTGAAACTTCACTCTGCAAAGCTCAAATTTGAAGTGCAATTTCTAAACTGCGACTGTGCCTTTAATTTTAATACTTCAGAGACATACTATGCATCAAATGTAGGTCTGGGTCTTGTGATTCTCACAATATAAAGCTCTTCACTGTAGGAGTTATAGTTTTAAGATACGACCGTTTGAAGATGGCAACCACCAAAATACTCTGACCTGTGTCAAGCTGCAGCAGCAAGTGATGTCATAGACAGGGCCTTTTGAACACCTGCTAATGTTTTTTTATAAATGTATGGTTTAATGTAACTGTGCAACAACGTTGCAATTAAATGTGCTATATAAATGATAACAGTTACTCAGCCCACTCCAGTTGTAGACTACTGGTGGAGGCAAGAACACTTCACACAATTTCCCCTGAAATTGTAACTTTTCTAGTTATTATTATTCTTATTATTATAGCAAAATTTGCCACCCTAACTCCTCCCACAGTTTTTACACTACATAGACAAAAATTTACCAAAGCGTGCAGATTGTTCCCGATCGGATTGCTATTACTTTGTGGAACGTTTCGCCGAATGGTTCACGGAATATCGTCGTTCTTGTGGCGAAATTTGTCCCATAGGAATGAATGGCAAAGCTAGAGTGGGAGCTGGCAAAAGCTGAAAAATCAGGACATGATTTCTAAACTGCCACCACTCCCTTATTTTCAGGCCCACCTACAAATCTTATATCAAAACGTTCAGCTATCCCTGCTGCCACTAAACATGTCAACGGCTAAGCCATAGTCCTGATAGTTTTCACAATATAATCATTTGTTTGCAACTAATGCCGTCCATTGACTTTCATTGAAACTTCGCTCTGCAAAGCTCAAATTTGAAGTGCAATTTCTAAACTGCGACTGTGCCTTCAATTTTAATACTTCAGAGACATACTATGCATCGAAATGTAGGTCTGGGTCCTGTGATTCTCACAATATAAAGCTCTTCGCTGTAGTATTTATAGTTTTTAAAATACGACCATTTGAAGATGGCAACCACCAAAATACTCTGACCTGTCAAGGCTGCAGCAGCAAGTGATGTCATAGACAGGGCCTTTTGAACACCTGCTAATGTTTTTATAAATGTATGGCTTAATGTAACTGTGCAACAACGTTGCAAATAAATGTGCTATGTAAATGATAACAGTTACTCCGCACACTCCAGTTGTAGACTACTGGTGGAGGCAAGAACACTTCACACAATTTCCCCAGAAATTGTAGCTTTTCTAGTTCTTATTCTTATTCTTATTATAGCAAAATTTGCCACCCTAACTCCTCCCACAGTTTTTACACTACATAGACAAAAATTTACCAAAACGTGCAGATTGTTCCCGATCGGATTGCTATTACTTTGTGGAACGTTTCGCCGAATGGTTCACGGAATATCGTCGTTCTTGCGGCGAAATTTGTCCCATAGGAATGAATGGCAAAGCTAGAGTGGGAGCTGGCAAAAGCTGAAAAATCAGGACATGATTTCTAAACTGCCACCACTCCCTTATTTTCAGGCCCACCTACACAAATCTTATATCAAAACGTTCAGCTATCCCTGCTGCCACTAAACATGTCAACGGCTAAGCCATAGTCCTGATAGTTTTCACATTATAATCATTTGTTTGCAACTAACGCCGTCCATTGACATTCATTGAAACTTCACTCTACAAAGCTCACATTTGAAGTGCAATTTCTAAACTGCGAATGTGCCTTCATTTTTAATACTTCAGAGACATACTATGCATCAATGTAGGTCTGGGTCTTGTGATTCTCACAATATAAAGCTCTTCACTGTAGGATTTATAAAAATTTTAAAATACAACCGTTTGAAAATGGCAACCGCCAAAATACTCTGACCTGTGCCAGGCTGCAGCAGCAAGTGATGTCATAGACAGGGCCTTTTGAACACCTGCTAATGTTTTTATAAATGTATGGTTTAATGTAACTGTGCAACAACGTTGCAATTAAATGTGCTATATAAACGATAACAGTTACTCCGCCCACTCCAGTTGTAGAATACTCGTGGAGGCAAGAACACTTCACACAATTTCCCCAGAAATTGTAGCTTTTCTACTTGGAATTGATATCCTTAAAGGATTGACCTTACATTTGGGGGGTGGCTGTAACAGTTTTGGAACTAAACCCTATAGATCAGCCAGACCAGTGGTGGTAGGAATATTGTTAATGCCCCCTGTGCAACTACCACCAGCTACTAAAGTAGTACAGGATCCCAGGAGGCCATAAAGAAATTGGAGAAACAATTGATGATTTAATAAAAGCTGGGGTCCTACGAGGGGTCACTACTGCTTGGAACAATCCTGTGTGGCCAATACGCAAGTCAGACAGCACATGGAGAATGACAGTAGATGTCAGGTATAGCATGGCATGTAATTTATCGCCGGAACCCACTTCCGGGTTCACGGCGCTCAGCCCCGCCCCTTTCTCTGACGCGGTCCCTCCACGATACTTAGGAGGACAGCGCCAGATTCAAAGGGCTGGATTATTCGCACAGGTGCTGCATGAAGATCAGCTGCTCTACTTCTGATCCTACCTGCTCCACTTCTATACCTCGGCTAGTAAACGGATTTCTACCTTCTCCACTTCTCGACCTTGGCTTGTAAACGGATTTCTACCTTCTCCACTCCTAGACCTCGGCTTGTAACTCTGAATTCTACCTTCTCCACTCCCAGACCTCGGCTTGTTAAAACGGACTTCCCCACTCTCCACTCCTAGTTCTCAGCTTGTTGAAGCGGACTTCTAATTTCTCCTTCATTGGGTGAATTAACCCTTCCAGTGCCAGAACTGCCTTTAAGTTAAGTAATACTTTTACCAAACAAGTCAATTACTATTATTTATATTACACAGTATCTAAAACTCACTAAGTGTCACTTTGTCTAATTATTCCTCTTACTCATAAGGGATTGCTACAAAGCCTAATTTTACCTACATGGATATTTAAAGGTACAGTGACCATAGTTTCATACCAATATAAAAGGAGGTGAACCTTATTGTTGTTGCAACCAAGAAATGCTGCAGTTGAGTTCCAATTAAAGAAATATTACAAAATAAGTATTACAGAATAATTCAGCCACTTCAATGGAACCAGCAGATATTAACTCTCAAGTTTCTGCCCTAACCAATAGAGTGGATACGATTGCTCAAGGGTTACAGGAACTGCAAATTACAAATGAGAGAATATTAACCTATGTTAGAGACATTCAAGGTCATCTTCCTCATGCTGCTCTTCAATCGGCTGGTGATCCTGCTGTCTGTAATCCAGAAAAATTTCATGGAGATAGAACAAAGTACAGAGAGTTTTTGAATTCTTGCAAACTACTAATTGCTTTAAAACCTAGATCTTATCCCACCGAAAGATCCAAAGTCTGTTCAGTGATCTCTTTTTTTAAGAGGTGAACCTATGGCATGGGCCCATTCCTTTTTGGAAAATGATGATCCCATATTGGATTCATTGGATGAGTTCTTTGAAGCTATGTCTTTATTATATGAAGATCCTTTTAAACAAACTACTGCTGATTTAACCATCAGAACATTACACCAAAAGAATAGACCTGTTGAAGATTATATTGCAGAATTCAAAAGATGGGCTACAGAAACCCAATGGAATGACATTACTTTACGCAATCAATTCCGTCTCAGATTATCTGAAGCTGTGAAAGATGAACTCTCTCGTACAGAACTTCCTCCTACCTTAAATGCATTGATTCAACTGTCTATCAGTATTGATAGACGTCTAAGAGAAAGAAAAGCTGAAAGGGTTCTTACTAATTCTACCTGGAGAAAACCTTTCACTACTCTAAAACTACCTGAAAAAATTCCTCCACAAACTGAACCTATAGAAGTAGGTATAATAAAAAGTCCTCTTACTTCTGAAGAAAGAATAAGAAGGAGACAACTAAACTTATGTATGTATTGTGCTTCGAATGAACATCTAATTTCCGAATGTCCTCTACTGAAACATTCAAAAGGTGGTAAGCTTCATTCATCTACCTCTATATTGAACGTTTTTCAAAAAAAGAAAAGCATCTACTTATTTT